TCACCCCCGGACGCAATACGTGATGAAACACTTTTTTTTTTTTCCGCGAGAAACTAGCTGAGCATTTTTGGAGCAACCCACTCGGTTCCCTTTGGTTTTGTTTTTAGACAACAGCATCAGAGTGTATGTGATCATGTTGCAGCATCTCTGTTGGTTTTTGGGGTCTTCCCCCATTTTTGTGTGGGTATTTCCTCTCCCCATTTTTCTGGTTTTCCTCAAATTCCCCCCCCGTGTTTTCCGTGTTTTTTCCGCTCGCCTTGGCCGAGGCTGAGCTTACGGAGCCTGGTGCTGCTGCTGCGGATCCGCGACCAGCTCCAAGGCTTCGCCTAGCATCGAACTCGAGCACCTTGTCCTAAGCCTGGTGCGTGGGTTTTGTCCGTTGGGCTGGGCTGAGCCTCGGGTTGGGTTGGGTTGGTTGGTTGGTTCGTTGGAGCATGGCGAAGTGTTGATTCATCCCCTCGAACCACAAGTGGATCCGAATGTAGGGACGGCAGTTCGGGAACTGACGATGGATTGGCCCCCATGCTGCATGTTGGAACTAGCCGAGTCTCCCTTTAAGACCACACTCAAAGGGTACCCTCACAAAAGACACTCCGACAGTCATTTTTGAGCTGGTTCGGGATTGCATGTGTAAAAGGAACAACAAGCCTGCTCTGGCACGCGGCTTGAAGTTTCAGTCACGGCTTGCAGCACTTTGCGGCGGAGGGTTTCCAATCTGTCCAGCCTTCCAACTCATTCAGATTAATCATACCATATCTTATGACCCAAGGAAGCGGGCCACCCTCACTCGGACGCTCAGGCTGATTGGAACACGGGCATCACGACGGTTTTCTGGGCTTCTGGATTGGAGTGCTTCCTGCCCAGAACGAAGTGAGGTGCTTTGGGAATGTGGGTGATGAGGTATGCACAATTGGTGGCTTGCTATTTGGGAGTTGAACCTTTGCCCCCTCTTAAACAAGTGGGAAGACACTGTCGAACCTCCAAACCACCAACTCATTTCTTCCAATGCCAAGGAAGCTGACTGGGTTTTCTGCACCTCCCTCTGTCGCTCTGTTGCAGGAACTGGGAGAAGAGGCGTCAGCGCGAAGGCTTCTGCTGCTAGTGAAGGGTTCGGAGGCGCGGTTGCGCCGGGGTCCTTCAACTTTCTGATGTTGCGCCTCCAGAAGGGGCAGCTTTAGTGGACCCCTCCAGTAAATTTCAACTCCTGAGAAGAAATTCCAATGACCCCTGTTGCTTGGTTTTTCGCTGACAAACTGCACTGAGTTCTGTTGCGTCGTTGTTGCTTCTCCTGGGGGCAATCGATGTATTAGCCAAGCTTGCGAGGCAATTCCAAGAGTGGCAGCCCCAAACCTATCAACTCTTGTCATATCCAAGTGGGTATCTGTGGCCCACTCCGGCGCGAGGTGTTCTGGCGGCATCAACCAGGTCGACATGTGAACTAGGAGGGACTCTTCGAGCCCCATCCATGCGGAGTTCCGACGCTCTCACTGAACGAGTGGATGCGAAACCAAAGGAAGTTCAGCCTGAGGTTCTGGAAAAGAGACAAACTCTAAAGCCCCGAATTTTGGAGAGTGTGGAAAGCCGTATCTAGTTTGTTTGTGTTGCAGAGTCGTACAACCTTTGCACATTAAATTGTATGTACATATATATATATATATATATACATATATATATATATACATATATATAATATATATACATATACACATATATATATATATACACATATATATATATATATATATATATATGGTCCCGTGACCCCCCCTCACCCCGCCATGGTATGGGTTGGGGGGCTAGGGTTGGGGGGAAGGGGGGGGGTCGTTCAAAAACATTGGCCCCATCGGCAAATAAACCCTCGTTTGCTGGCAGGGCTGTCATTTTAGAGCTTCTATTCGGCGAGCTGTTTTTCGTGGGTCTGTCGTGGTTTCGGCCCGCGAGCCTTCAAGAACGCGTGTGCTTGTTTAAATCAATTCTCAAATTGCCTAATCGACCCTCTACGGACTTTCGTGCGGTCCTCTCGCTGTGGCACGGTGCTCATTTTCTTGAAGCTGGAAACCCTAAACCGTTGCCGAGCCAATCGGATTTGCTCTCAAGTACTCCTCACCCCGCGCTCCCGCGCAACGCTGCCTTCTCAGCTCTGCGTCTTCCTATGAAAACTCCAATAAAAAAGAAAAAAACAAACCTCTACTGCCGGACCTTTGTTCCTCCAGATCCAAGCTCGGGTGACCCTTAACACTTGTTTCTACATCACTTTGTAAACCCGAAAAAGGGAGCTGGGGACCATAGACCCCAGACAGTATATATATATATATATATAGAGGCCTACGCACACGATTCCTTCCAACAAGACGAGGGACATGTTTTGATGCTGCGACCATTTGACAGGCGCATTGCATGGTTTCTCTCGGCGTTTGCGTGACGAGAAAGGCTGAGGTTTCCATCAAACCAAATGAAGGTAGGAACCAAAACGGCCTGGCGGCTGTATTGGTCAAAAGTCTGGGGTCAAAGGTGTTAGGGGGGACATCCGACGGGACGATGAGGGACTCTTGCGGGGAGGGGTTGCAAGGCAAGGAGGCGTGCCATGACTCTCAGGAAAAGTACAAGCGGTAGTTGGACACACCATTCTCAGCTACATGCTCATCAGCCCAGGATGATGCCTGCCCCGCCTACTTCCGCGCTTGCCGGGAAAATGTGCCCGGCGAGATGTGGGCGCGGGCGAAGACGCGGGACACCTTGAAACTTGGGCTGGGAGCGCCTTTCAGTTGGGTCCCCCGGTTCTGTTGATTTCCAGACGTCGGGGCTGGGAGGCTAGCCTAGAGGCATCCCAGCTGTCTGCGTTGAAATGCTCAGTGCCGTGGAACCAGAGGGCGCCTGAAGGAATGCTGGAACCAGGTTCAGGGCAGCATGGGAGGACCATTGCTGGTTCGAAACATGTTGGCACGTCTTCAGATTCCCAGGGTCACTAACACCACATCTATTAGAGGCACTTATTTGTTCGTTTGTGGGGATTAGTTGAATGGAACTACGGCTCCTGGCTCCCTTTCGGGTGCCGCTGAAAAGGATCTTTGGGACCTGGCAGATGTCCAGGTCACCACCATGGGGCTTCCCCAAAATTGCTCTCAATGGCTTTCTGGGGTGGATGGATTGCGTGTCTGCCGCCATTTGAAGCACAACGCACCCGGCCTCCCATGGGGCTTCTTGCCGCGCTTTGGTGGCTCGGCGAAGCTTCGGCGGACAGTGGCTGCTGTTTTCCTTTTCCATCTCCTGCAGGAAGCTTTGTGTCCTGTTTTGTTGGCTGATCGTCACCTTTCTGAGACTCTGACCAAAACTTGGTGGTCTACTGGTTTTGTCCCTTTGGTGAAGTAACTTTGTCTGTTGCTCCTTTGCATTTGCCGTGTCTTTTTAGCCAAAGTTTGCATCGCCGGCTTCTTTTTGTCGCACGTTTGCGACAGAAAAACTGAGTTGTGGATCACTGCTCTGTAGTTTGCCATCCTTCAAGCGCATGACAGTTGCATTCCACCTCCGACTTGAAAACTGAGTGCCGGTGAGCAACATGGAAAGAGAGTAGCAAGCCAGGTTCGTCAGGATGTGAGATCTACTCATGTTCCTTGCAGAATATACCGTCAGTGAAACACCTCGCTACTGTATATCTGGAGGGCTCCTTGATTGGAACACTTGAGGCTTTTATGGTCCATTGTTGATCTTAGATTTGTTGATTGCACCGGAATGCAGGCAGTTCATTTATTTTCCAGTGGGTATTCAAGGATTCCATCATATTGGTGGTACCCAAGTACGAGTCTTTTGGACGTAAGGGGCCTCCGCACGAGTTGCCTCCTTCCCGCTCCTTTGCAAACATTCTGTCTCTGACTAGCACCACGCCGAAGTACTGCACAAGAGTCTTGCAGGTCGAACTTTCCAACCATCTGGAAGCAAGCGGGGAGGGAGGGAGTGGTCCACAACATCTATATGAGGATTATGCACAAACAGTCTACCTGGGGCAGTGTCCCTTCAAGGATACATATGGGCCAGTCAAAGGACCACCCTTTCCAGTTTAATTAGAGGATCCACTTGTATAGAAGGTGGTTTTGGGATGTACCTCTTGACCCCGAAGCTGGAAGCCCGAATTGAGGCTTCAGTTCCTTTGCCAAGCGGTGGGCTGCCGCCTGGAAGGCTCACAGGCGCATGCGCTGAAGGAGGCCTGGGGTGGAAAGACAGCAACGTGAACCCCTTGCCATTTGGGCGTGGGTCAAAATTTAATCGCCAGACAACCGCAGGATGTAGTCCTTTGTTCCATTTACCAGGGTTCCGTTTTGGGTATGTACTTTCGACCCACAGCCATTTCTAGCCCGTTCCATCTTCGGACACAGCCCCACCTTTTGGCCATTTGGGCGCAGCTTTCAATGGAGAGCGCTTTGATTTTGTGTTCAGCCCTCAGGTCGGTCTGATCCCTGTGCCCGAAATGGACGTGGAACCTGCCAGATTGTCGGGCCCACACCCGTATTCTTGTACCATACTTTTCCTACCTTTCCGTGGTCGAGGGAAGATCCCCGACTCCCCAATCCCTGGCAAGGTTCCCCCATCTCCTCGCGGTTTCGAGGCTCACGAGTTTCCTTGGCGATTGGAAACCGAGTTGGACCCTCTGGCTGGTGTCTTTCAAGGGGCTGAACCGATTCAGACTCAAGTCTTCGAATGGGGCGTGTCGCTTGAATCGCCAAACAAAAGACCACCCAAAACCAGGGTCCGTTTAGTATCGTAGCACATTCCGGGGTTTTTGAAGAAAAGAGCCTCTTTTGGTTGGGGGGGTTTTGGGTGCACATCTGTTGGAGCCCTGGATTCTCCTTCGCCAAAGTCATTTTGCCCCCTTGTCATTGAAAGCTTTGCGTGGACAGGGGGTCCTTTCCTATGTTCTCAACAGACAGAGGTTGGAGCTTGGGCATGAGACTTGGCTTTGACCAATTTGACCGGTCATTTCTGCAGGTAAGCCCCATGTGTAGGAAACCAGCTGACCCATTCGTCGCGACCCCGCCTGAGGTCCTGGTCGCTTTGGGCCTCGATGATTTGGACAACTCCTCGGCGGATTTCGAGACGTCGCTGGCCGCGGGCTCCTCGAAGGGGTGCGGCAGCATCGGCGTCTTCTGCGAGGAGCGGCACATGTGCAAAGGTTTCTTATTTCCGCGGGCGCCATGAGCACTGCCATGGGCCCAGATTTGCCAGCACAGCAGGTGTCTTGGCTGAAAGATCGTCGTGGAGCCCTGAAGATAACCGTTAACCATGGGCAATCCCTCAACAAGTTGGAGGATGTCCCGTTTCTCGAGGTTGCTTAGGTGGGCGAAGATCAAATATCGAAAGGTTCCCGAGTTGCATGCTCAAGTGTACGACGGGTGGAACCCTTGGCGCCACTTGGACCCTCAACCTATCCTGCAAGAATGGTGATGCAGGATGTTTAAGATCACTTTAAGGGTCCAGGCACTTGTTGGGGGTTGATTCCCCCCCATTCCTCCCAACCATGCTTCTTTTCAACACCCTTGCGTGGGTCGGTTTTCTAGTCAACTGGTTCCGCTCGCTTGCGCCTTGTAGGACAATCTGGTGTTTTTCGTGTATCCACTTGGAAGACCAAATCATGTGTGATGGCACCCCCTCCAGAGTCACGCAAATCATGGACTGACCCAATTCTGGGGTTCCCGGCCAGGAGGTTGGGACCTCGTGCAAGGTGGTGCTCTTGGCCTACCAACACCTGGGCCTCACAGGTTTCCTGCCGGAGGCGATTGCAGGGCTGCCGCATCTCCGGAAGCTGAAGCTGTCGACGCGCGGAGGGGGGCGGGGTGGGGGGGGAGTGGGGTGGGGGTTGGGGGGGAGGGTGGGTGGAGTGGGGTTTGGGGGTTTGGGAGTGGCAAAACAGGGGTTTGGACCCCCTAGAATGGAAATGGGTTTTCCTTTTTCTTTCCAAGGTCAAAAGGGTACCGTCAAAAAAAGGGGTAATGTCTGAGTCCGACTCACAAAGTGGGGGTTGGCAATTTGAGCTTCCAATTCTTTTGGGGTGGGAATCCCCTGCAAATCATTTGGAGGTTGATCTTATGGGAGAGGCTGCTGTTTTGCATAAAGGTTTCGAGGGGTTCGCAAAGTAGGGTGGTCCTTTCAGGACTATCTCATTACATGTTGTTTGGGTTGCCGCCCAAAAGCAAACTTGGAGGGAATGTTGACCGCGGATTCTAGTAGAACCTGGCGGATTTATACGGGGGGTCCAACCCCCCCCAAAAAAAACAAGACAAAAACAAAACAAGCAGAACAAACTAGCCAGGAGGGTCTTTGATTTTGACCCTGTTCTCCTGAAGAACAGTATGATATACTACTCATTTTGTACAATAGTTGTTTCCTTGGGCCATCAGTCACCTGTGCTTGGCAATTTTGGTACGTCCCTCTCCCATCTCAGCGTCCGGAAGGAATCGACTGAGCGGTACCATCCCGAAGGCACGGGCCTCGGGCACCGACACAAACCGAGTGAGGGACAGGTTTTTGGGGCTGGTCCCCCCATGCCTCAATTGCTGCTGCTGTGAATGGACAAGCTCCAGCAGTTCGGATGGACCCAAACCCTGTAAGACTGGGACAAGCCGCATGTCAACTGGTGGATTTCGTCGAGTGCCATCGCCATTGCTACGTGGTTTCTCCTTTGTGAGATGCGAGTCAGATCAGCGCTGAGGCCTTGGGAGGCTTGGTGCATTTGCGGGAGATCAGCTTCTCCAGGAACCAGCTCACCGGCGAAATCCCGCAGGAGCGCCAGACCCGAAAAGTTGCCCTGGACATGGGATATTGCTTTGTCAAATTGCGCCTTGATTCCACACGTTCGGGGGCTGTTTGAGGGATATTGCCGCAACGTTTGAGGGTGATTTCCCATTTTTCAGGGCAGTTTGAGGGTGCAGACTGGGTTTCTTTTCTGGCGGAATGTCCGGATTTGAAGCGCGTCCCCCCGGAACAGCCGCGTGTTGGGTACCCTTACCGTTCCGCAAGCGACAGCTAAGGTTCCTCAAAGCGCCATGCGGGGGGGGGGGGGATGCTCTTGGAGATCTTGGGTTTCGGACTTAAGAGCCGAAGGACCGCCGTCATGGATACCCAGCAACCCCCACTGCTTTTGCAGTCCAAAACCCCAAGTGGAGGCCAACAGCCCTCTTGGCCATTTTATTGGGATTGCCGTGCCTGGATGAATCTTTGTACTCGAAGAAGAGTGAATCAAGGCCCTCTCAAGTGGACCGCACCGGACTTCAAAACTCACCAGGAGCTGCCAGAGAGCTTGGAGGGCCTCTACCTGCAGGACAACCACCTCACGGGTGGCATCCCGGAGAGTTTTGGACGACTCAGGAGGGCGCACAAAACGAGGGCCTGGAACAAAGAGTTCCCTTTTCAAGAGGAAACCCCTTCCCAACAAAAGTTCCCTGAAGTGCTTTTGAGTGTTGCAACAAATTCCAAGACTCAGATGAAGCCGTTGGATCCCATGTCGGTCTTTCGTGAAAGAATGACAAACCGCTTTCAAGCACTCTTGGGTTGCATTCATTTAGATATTTGGGGATGCCCGAAAATTGAGGGAGCCCATGTTGGTTGTTGTTTTGAAGACCAACTATAGCCGGGGTTCCCCATTTTTTGGGGGAACACATATATTCGGATTTGCCGGGAAGGCCAAGTTTCATGGACAACTGTGCCATCTGTTCCTCCCCGTTTCCCTTTTCTCCTCCTTTGTTTGCCCCGTCTTTGGTTTGTTGCCGCACAAGTTAGGATCCATTTTGTTCCTTTCAGCAGCCTCAGGGGATTGAAGGGCCTGGATCTCAGCAGCAACAATCTCGATGGCACCATCCCGGAGTCTTTTGAGAACCTTGTGAATTTGGAGCACCTGTGGCTGAGCAACAACCGCCTCACCGGGAAGCTCCCAGCATTGGGTAGCTGGGCAGACCTAAGTGATGATCGTTATCTGGGACAGCTCCAGATAGCTATGTTTTTTTTTTCAAACTCGGGGCGTTTGCTGTTGCCAGAGTTCAACGCATCGACCCGTTCGACCCCTTGGATCCATTGGAGTCGCCTCGACCGGTGTGAAAATTGGACTCTCCGGCTGCTTCGCTCGTGTTGGCTTCTACCGAGCTAAGTGTCCCTATCTTTGACACAAGGGTGCCAACTGTCGGCGTCTACCTTTCACGCTCGTGGCTTTTTTGGGTCATTTGCAAAGAGCAGCCTTTAGGGGCACCCCGAACGAATCCGAGTCCGATGACCGTCCGACTATTCATGTTGCCAAGTTTCTGCAGGCCGCACCCCGAAAAGTGGTGGAATCCTTTGCTATGATACCGGCGTTTCCTCTTGTTTTGCTTCCACGTGCAGTTTCTTTTTATTCCTGGGGAGTGAGGAGCTGGCCCAGCGCCGCACCGAGTTTTGTGATAACAAATTGCGCCCTTGAGGCAATCTCCAGAACCTCATCCTCCTCAATGTGAGTCAAAACCACCTGGAGGGGAAGGTCCCCTTGGCCTACAGGTACCTGCCTGAGATGGCCCACGCGGATTTTCGGGGCAACAAGCTCCTGCCGCACAGCCAAGCTCTGCCGAACTGCGCGCCCTTCGCCAAGGATCCCTGTCAGCTCTTCCAGTACCTGGACTTCTCCGAGTGTTTGCAGTGCCTGGGGTTTTCCCTGGGCTTCGCCGTTGCTGGCGCTTGGTGCCTCAGGGCCATGGCTTCCCGGACTCCGAAGCCAAACTCCCATGTCCCCAACGGCGCCAGGGAAGTGGCGGCCGCGGCCTTGTATCCCACCAGGAGCGGGGTCAAAGCACTCCTGAAAATTGGGGCTGGTGAACCTGTGGACCTTACCACCAAGGAACAAAGCCATGCAGGCGCTGGCTGATATGTCAGACAGCCATGACCCTTTTCACCCTAGCCATGATTTGTCTCTAAAAGCCACGCATTTTTCCCAACGAAATCCTGGATGGCCGTTTCGGACCAGGCCTTCTCAGACTCTGTACCTGGCCCTGGCCGTGGTGGCTCACTTCTTCGCGCCCTGTTGCATGGCATGGTTCGTGAAGCCTCAGGTCAGGGAAGTCCGGCTTGAAGGTTTTTTGCTTCTTGAAGTCCTTTTCGGTTACCTCTCCATGTCTTCTTTCTCTCCCCTTGGCGCTGAAACAGCATCCTCGGAACCAAGCAGCTTTCAGCTTCCCCGGCAGGTCGTGCTGACGCTTGTGGCGCTGCAGAAGGCGGTGGCCGCCATCTGCAGCCGCGAGGTGGGCGGGTGACCAATTGCCAGGGACGCTTTGCGGGCGTGCGACCGTACCAGAGGATCCTTTCGAAGGGTGCAAGCCTTATTTCCGGTGGGTGAAATCAGATATTTGACGTGCAAGAGCCAAAGCTGCTGGAGATTGCTTCGGCCAAACCAGAAAGACATATCTGAAATACTGCGGATGGACACAATCCTGCTCCAAATTAAAACCATGGGAAGCCATGTTTGTTGGTATTTAGAAGGGAATCATCCATTCATGGTTTCTTAGGGGGTGCAGGATTTCGTCCGTCCGCAGCATGCATCAAGAGCACTTTGTCCCGGTTTGATATTTTGAAGAATCGCTCCCTGGAGGTGGTGGCGCCCAATCTGCTGTGCCTCTTCTTCCCACAGGGCCTTTCTGCACGACGAAGGCCCTGCCAGACTTTCCTGGCGGAGCTGATCGGGGGACCCGTGGTGCTCGTGGTGCCCTAGCTTCCGGTTTTCCTGTTGTTGTTTGTCATGTTTTTGTTTCTGGGTTTTTGTTTGTTGATTTTGTTGTTTGCCTCTCTATTTTTGGAGGACTGTGTTGGTTGCTTGGTTTTGCTTGTTAAATTTTGTTTGTTTGTTTGTTTGCTTGAGGTGCCTTTCGCGTTTTGTGTGTTTGTTTTCGCAGTTTGTCTTTTCTATGTTTCTGCTGCTCTTCCCCAGCAACGGAATTTCACATGTTTGATTTTCAGAAAGCAACTGGGTTTTTGCGCAACAAACTCGTGGACACCAAGAACAAGCAAAACCTCGAGAACCCCCAAAAAACAAACAAGCCAAAGCCCTCAGCTGAATGTTGTCAGCTTGGCACTTGGATATTTCCTTGAGGGCTTTGTGCTTTATTTATTTATTTCTCTTGTTTTTTTTTGTTTTTGTTTTTTCCCTAGAGTCATTTTTGCTTGTTATTCGCTTTGTAGAGTTTCCCGAAGTTTTTGCATTCCTGCACCTCAAGGAAAAACTAGGGGAATACTAAGGGAACTAGAGGAGCACTCGAAGAATACTAGGGTCTACTGGGGGAATACTAGTCCTAGAGAAAACCCCCCAAACAACAATTCCCCGACCAGCGATCCAAGGTTTTGTTCTGTTCTTTGTTTTTCTGGAGGTTTGTGCACTCCTGCGTCTCAAGGGAAGCTATAGGAGCACCTGAGTAATACTGCGGGATACTACGGGTGAATACTGGGATAATACTAGGGGAATACTGAGGAAATACTTCGGGAATAGAGAGGGAATACTGGGGGAGTGCTGAGCAAACACTAGGGGGAAGCGAATTTAAAAGAATATGGACATGCTAGTGGAATACTAGTGCAATCATAGGGGAATTGGCATACAAGGAGAATGCCGAGAGAATGCTAATTCTTTGCGAGGGCACAATAGGCGAATACTAGGGGGAATGCAAAGGGAAAACTAGGACACTATTTAGGAGAAGACTGGAAACTACTAGGGAAGTATTGAGCGAATACTAGGATACTAAAGGAATAGATAGGGGAATACTAGAGGAATACTAAGGGGAATAGTACCGGAATATTTTTAGGGAATCCTATGGAAGTACTACGGGTGAATGCTAAGAAAACAACAGGGAACACTGAGGGAGTACCAGAGGGTGTGCCAAGAGGATAACGGGAACACTGAGGAAATACTAGAGCGTGTACCACGAGAATATTAAAGGAATACTATAATGCCAGGAAAATATTGAGAGGCTTAGTGAGAGCTTGTGCAAAGGAAATTGCGAAAAGCTGCAGAAGTAAGTGTGCGGATTGTTGATGTTTCGGATTGCGTGCGCGGACATGAGACCAGATCAGATGAGACACACACACACACACACACGTGTTAATCAAGCTATGACTCCCAACTAATCTGTTTTGAGAGAAAAGTGCTCTGCGTGCGCATTTTCGTTCTTTTGAGATATGAAACACACAGTGGTTTTATATGAAAACAGTGCTGGGGACACGTTAGTGGGATCCCCGTTTACACATCACCTTTTGCGCTTTGCTCTTGGGTTGATGTTCGAAGGGGACACAGGAACCCCTGCACAAAGCCCTTTGACCCTGGTTTGATTTCGGCACCCAACATTGAGTCATTCTCCATTTGGCATTTTGGCAAAAATATAGACGAGCCATTTCAGAAAGAAGCCCTCTGTTTTTTAACCAACGAAAAGAAGCAATGCCGCTGGCAGTGTTGGCAGGTTTGAGGATGGAGGAAGATGTGGCATGAATCTTAACCAACTTGCTTGCATTCCCAAGTTTGACCTAGACTACCGGAACTTCATACCTGGAGATGCTTGTATAAATTCCCTACTGCGGGCGATGACCGTCCCTACCGAACGTGAAGCCCATCGCTGGACATACGCCTTTCGAGGAATCTCGCAGCTTTTCTTTGAGGGGCCGCACGCTTGCCACCAAGGCAGTCCAAAGAGGACAACCCTGTGTTTTGAAATGGGTGAAAGGGCCAAAGAGTTCAAACAAGGGCGATAAGCAACAGTGCTGAACATGCGAAGGCAAAGCAACGGGAGAGACCGCAAAAAGCTCGTCGAAGCTCAATGCTTTGTGGTGGGGCAAAGCTCGCTCAATTGCCTGCAAGGGGACGAAACCGATATCCTCAATTCGACTCAAGTCCTGGGGCAACGCGGCAACGAGTAATTTTGACCACCGCATGAGGTGCTGGTTGTGTTGGTGGACATGGCGGACCTGGCGCAAGAGTCGCCCAGCTTCATTTCGCAGCACGACATCGTGGTGGCCGAGACCATAGGCAGCGCCACGGTCAAGGCACGCGCCTGATGGACCTGAGATGGTTTCCACTCAGTTGGTGGTGGTAAATCACGATTTTTGTGGGGGTAGTGATTTGGGGGTACCATTCTAGAGGCCGGAAAACGACCTCCCTGCTGAAGCGCCCTTGTTCTTTCGCTTCCCCATTTGCTAGGCGGGTTTTGGGTATCACAAGTTGGGTTTTCCCAAGCTCCGACCCCAGGCAGAGTTCTTGCCAGCCATTTGCAGATTGTCGCTGATCTACATTCTGACTTCCTTTGCGCTTTCCTTGTGTTGCCCTTGCGGCCATGTGGCGCCGGCGGCGTCCGATGTGGATCGTTTGGCGCGGGCGCTGGCGTCGGGGGAGCCCGTTGCGCAGGCGAGATGGTTTGGCACCACAAGGCTCCCCGGCTTTCTCTTTCCCTTGAGATTTGTAGCTAGTGGTGCCAAGTTGTTTGCCATGGCTGCTCTGGAAGGTGGTTTGGATTTCTCCTACATGGCAGCACGGGAGTAGACATACTCCCGCACAAAGCAACGTGGTCCCCTCAAAATCATGGCGTTCTGGGGTCCATAGTAATCTGCGAGAGTGTTTTGAAAACCGCCAACCAACGCTGACCTGGATGTTTCTGAAACCTGGGGGTGTCTCTCCGAAGGTGCAGCATCCCGAGAAAAAGAGTAGCGCTCCCAAAACGTCAACCTGAGCTTTGCTTAGCCTGTACAAACGGAGGCGCTGGAACATCCTGCCCGCGAGCTCGAGCTAGTCGGCGAAGTTCGTGGTTTGGATGCTCAGGCACATGGACTCGTTTCACGTGCCCCTTTTGGCGCCCCTTTGGTTTCCATGAACTATCCTTTGGGTTAACTCAACAGCTTGTCAATACGCTTATGTGCATGTAGAGTGGTTTGGAGCAGTAAAGCCCAAATTTAGACCAAGTTCCTTTTGTTATACCATTTTGGCTTTCCTTTTGGCTTTCCTTTTTGCTTTGCTGTTTGGTTCCTCTTGGTTTCAACTTGGTCATGCGAGGGCAAGGGGCCGGCTGATCCGGTAGTCCGCTTCGAGAACTTGGGGCGCAGAAGGCTGCGCGCATCCTGGGGCGAGTCGCTTGGCTGCTTTTGCGTGTGTTGAGGAGGCCCTTTTTCACCTTAAGGCACACAGCAAGCAACACGACCCTTCTTTTGGGTTTGACTGAAACACTCTCCATTCGAAAAGGACAGTGCCTTGCCAATCAGTGTTCTTGTTGCTAGGGCTTGCAGAGTGGCACCTCCTCCCCACTTTTCTTTGCATTTTTTCGAATCCCCCAATGGGACCTACAGAAAGGCGAGGTTTGGGCTTCCCATTTCGCCGAGTGGCTTGCGCGGCCTCGTGCTGCCCGCGAGGTCGCGCTGCGAGGTGCAGCTCCTGGCGGCCTGGCGGATCTACCTGGACCTCGGCCTGACGGCGCTCACCTTCTGCACCGACTTCTTCGCGGCCAAGAAGTTCCTGCAAGGCCGCGGGAAAAAGCCTTTTTGGTACCAATCTCTTCCGCACCAAGGGAGGCTTGTTGCAAGGCCGCGGACAGCTTTTTGGTGCCGATTTTTCCGCAAGGGAATTCCCTTGAAAGGTTCAAAAGGGGAGGGGATGGCCTGCTTTGGTACGAAGAACAGAGTGACTTTTTGACGACTTTTTGGGAGCCCTCATAGTTGAGTTCTCAAAATGAGGCAACTTCCGAAAGTAGTCGCAGTTTAAGGACTATTATCGTTTCCGCAAGGATTGCTTTCGCTGGTTTTTTCCTGACAACACCAAAAAGGGAGCTGAAACGAATATGGAGCCTTGATAAACAGATATGGACATCTTTAAGAATAGAGGCTCCAACTCGTTTCCAGAAAATAGGGGCCGGACCCATGAAAAATGACGTCACGGCCAGCCAACACAAGCGCAACACCAGTTCCAAACATTGCGCCTGGAATGGCATGAGAAAAGGCCACCGGGTTTGCTTCTATAAATCCTTCCAGGTTACGAAAGGAAGGGTCCCTTTGCCATGGTTTCCCACAAAACGGAACACATGGAAAACAGGACCAGCAAATTGACAGGCTTCCCAGAGAGGATGGTTGACATTGGCTTCGACGGGTTTCCGTTCAACTGGGGCTGGGTGGTCAACCCCCTTTCATGGGTTGGGATCACCCAGTTTTTTCCTGAGAAAACAACAGCAGGTTGGGGGAAAAACAACTAGCAGCAATCGAATAAAGCATACTAAACCCGGGAGAGGTTCCTGGTTTCAACAAGTTGGTCCAAAAAAAGCTTCGGTCGGAGAGGCCACTTCTTCTGGTTTGCCGTGGTGACCTTGGCCGCCTCCTGGTGTTCCATGCTGGTGGAGCTGCCAACTTGGAGGCCGCGGGAGAAACGGGTCTCAAGGTCGCGAGTGGCACGTTTTGGGGGGTTGTTCACAGTCCCCAAGAAAAACCGTGGAGTTAGTACGACTCCAGTTCCGTGTTTTGGGATGGGCGTGAAAGCTCGAGTCACTCTGATGTGCAAGCGCGGTCAATTTTCCACCATTTCCCTGGGGACGCAACCCGAATCCTTCTGCAATGCGCAACGCATGTCATCCATTTATTCACAAAGGGAGCCATTGCAGCATAGTGACTATTTGCGACTCTAGTGGGGGCAAGTAAGTATCGAGGGCCCTGAACCCGTGGCTCCCCGTGCTATGACTCGGAATCATTGGAATGGTAGATTCACCAAATCCCATACCTGGACCCTCAAAGTCCCCTTCAACATGGGGAGTTGCCCCCCCAGCATTGTGCGGTTTCTCAGGCTCCAGGTACCTCCAGGTACCTCGTACCTCTGAAGCCCATACCTCGCAAACATACCTCCAGCGTCCCCCGCCTCCACTTGGATTCGATTCGACAGGAACTTGAGGCAGGAGGCCCAGCTCAGCGTGCGCCAGGGCTTCTATACCGACCGCATGGTGGCGCTGCGGAACTCCGAGCGAGGCGTCGAAGGCCAGATGGAAACCCCAGCCCCAAACCACACCCAATGGGGAGAATGAGGTATATGACTTTTATGTGCTGGCTCTAAGTGGTTAGATCATCTTTCCTTGGTGATGTGGCTTGGTAACATCGTAAGGACTAGACTGGCCGCACTTGGGGGGTATCTCCTTTGGGTCCCAGACCTCCCAAACGCACCACACCCCAAACACACCCCCTTGACGACGCAAATAGACGAAGTGCGTGTGGAGACTGTGTTGGGGGGGGTGGTGGGAGTAGTTTTATAATTTGCACAGGCACCTTTGAAAATGCGCTGAACAGTGGATGACGACAATCTTGAACCACAACTCAGACATAAAATGGTCTTCCAAATTGTGGTGGCTCCCTGCCGGGAGGGAGTTTCCGCTGGCTGCAGAGGCTTTGTCCGGTTTCTTCTGTGCGATCCGGAAGGGACCTCAAAGGTTCTTTCCGATTCCAAAAGGAGATTCCCAAAATGGCGATTTGCGTTCAAAACAAATGTGAATCTTTTGGAAAGTACATTTTTCTTTTTCAGCGGCGACTTGATTGCCGTTAGGTTTGGCCTTGAAGCTTTCGAACCTTTGGACAGTTGCACGCTCCCATTGATTGCAACAGCGTTCAGCATTTTGCAATTTGCGTACAATCCCAGGTCGTGGCTGTAATCGGGAAGCGCAAATGGCCATCCCCTTTGGTTTCCATATTGCACGAGCAAGGCTTCGGGCAGACCCTCGACTTTTCTGGTTACGGGGCCGATATATTGATTCCTTCCTTCCTTCCTTCCTTCCTTCCTTCCTTCCTTCCTTCCTTCCTTCCTTCCTTCCTTCCTTCCTTCCTTCCTTCCTTCCTTCCTTCCTTCCTTCCTTCCTTCCTTCCTTCCTTCCTTCCTTCCTTCCTTCCTTCCTTCCTTCCTTCCTTCCTTCCTTCCTTCCTTCCTTCCTTCCTTCCTTCCTTCCTTCCTTCCTTCCTTCCTTCCTTCCTTCCTTCCTTCCATTCCTCCTTTTCTCCATTCTTCCTTTCATCCATTCTTCCATTTATCCATTCCTTCTTCCATCTACTCCATTCCTCTACTTGTCCGTTCAATCTTCGTCCATGAATCTGTTCATGTGTCGTCACTGAGACGTTTTCGTTCCGTTCCCTTTCCGTTCTGTTCCGCCCCGCCCCGCCCCATCCCATCCCATCCCATCCCATCCCATCCCATCCCATCCCGCCCCATCCCATCCCATCCCATCCCATCCCATCCCATCCCATCCCATCCCATCCCATCCCATCCCATCCCATCCCATCCCATCCCATCCCATCCCATCCCATCCCATCCCATCCCATCCCATCCCATCCCATCCCCGCCCCATCCCGCACAGTTCATTAATTCTTGTTGACTGCGTTTCTGCTTTGTTGGGTTTCAAGGGAGGCCAGAGTAAGCCAACCTGATCAAGCAGCCCACGGGAGTGTTTGCTTTGAGGTTTTCCTTTTTGGGAGGCCAATTTGGACGCCATGAGAGACTTGACTCCGCCTTTTTCGACCAGACGCACTTCTTAAACACCATGAGAGGCCAACATTGGCTCTGAGTCTTCCTGAGACATTTTGGACCTGACATCTCGAGGCTTCCTGGATTTGGGCGTGAAAGTCTATGGCCTGCCCTGGGGCGTCACCTCGGACGCGAGCTTCGGGGCCTTCCTCCTCGGCGTGCTGCGCTTTGGCTAAAAAATCACTCGGCCCCGCTTTCGACCGCTCCAAGAAGGTGATATCCATGGAAGGAAAGCGCGCCTGAACTTCTGACTGGGGCCCTTTGCAAATTTCATTTCGTGAAACAAGTCGCAGTGGGGTTGTGGGCGGAAGCCTTAGGTCTAGAAAAGTCAAGCATGACCGCGGCAGCAACATGTGACTTGTAGTACCTGGACCCGTAGACTAAACGACATTGAACCATTGGACATGGCCCCCAGCAAGTTTGGGGCGATCTCCCATTTTAAGTTTTGAAGTACAAGGGTTCTAGATGAGCGAGCCCACCTTTTTTTGTCCATTGGCAGTCATGGCCTTCCTTTAGTTGTGTTTTAGGCGGCAAAACGTGGTTGGACCTCTTTTGGACGCTTGTCAGAGGTTCCGGCGGCCGGGGGACATCTTCTAGAACTTTCGACCTTGTCGTTTTCAAGAAGTCAGCTGGTCGAAACTAGCCTGAACGCCCCCTCCTTGGACCAGAACAAGGTATCATTTCGTTCTGCAAAAACACAGCAGCAACTGGCGAATGATTGGTAGTGTACCGTTGGTTGTAGGGCCTAAATTTCCAATTTCCTCTTCGGGAGCACATAATACTGTCCGTCGGTGACAAATCATTTGGGGATGACACCATCCCTTGTCATAGGTAGGAAGAGCCAATACGGCAGGCTGGCCATTTTGCAAGTTGAAGGCAGGTGTTCTTTCCCGAATTTCCAAGATCCATGCTTTGTGTCAGGCAACCCTTCAACCTTTTCATCCTTAAGGCTGGCCTGAAGCTGGGCTCATGCTGGCACCCCGTTTTGAGGCTGAACCTGCGTGGGCTGGCGTTGGTGCTGCGCACACGAGACCAGCTGGCGGGCTATGCCTAAGGCGGGGGTAGATTTTCTGGCACGGAAAGGGGTTGAATCCATCTGTGTCAAAATAGAGCTTTGGACCACCATGGTGGTTTCCCTTTAAGACTAGCGCAAAAAACATACACTCAAAAACTGCAGGGGCCCATCATATATAATCCTCCAACTGGCTATGAATTGTCATGGGGCACCTCCAAAGTGTTGGTGAACATGAATCTCCACCGAGATCTGATGTTTACCCAAGGGTGCCCTAAAATTCACAGCGAACCAATCCGGCGCTTTCCCTTTTGCAGGTTCCTTTAGCGCGCCCGTTGATTTTGTATCCAGGCCTGGAGGAAGGCACAAATCCGAGGACCTCGACGCCACGTCTTCATTGCATGCGGGGGAAGCCGATCGCATGGAGCCAAATTGATCCAGCGATTTGACGGACCCGGACTTGGCACAGGTGCTCGGACAGCTGGGAGCGAGCTTTCAGCCCATGGCGAACAAGCAGACCTTGGGCTCACGTGTGGCCTGGGGCTACTGGCTGGACCACGGCAGAGAGCAGTCAGGTCAAGCTCGCCTGCTGCCAGCGCGGGGTGGTGAAGCGGAAATTGCCTGGCGGGCTTGCCTGCGGCGCAATGCTTGCCTGCGCAAAGCAGGGAAGGATCCCCGCAACGGATGCCCGTGCGACAGCGCGTTATTGCCTGCACTGAAAACCATGCTTCTCATCAGGGTGGCAACGAAGGCGCTTTGCAAGCCACTCCTTGATCCCGGCATCTGCAGATTGCCGCGCACGTGCAAAGTTCGAGCAGCGTCGAAAAGCATGAGAGTTAAAAGGGAGATGAGAGTTAAGAGGGAAACTCAAAAAGAAAACTCGTCAATCGAAAGGGTTGGGATATTTGCAAAACCACGAAGACACTATTCTCCTGCATCCTGCGTGTCTTCAAGGACCCTCTTGAGCTGACAGGTCAACCTGCAGCCGCCCAAAGACACAAATGCCCCACAATTGGCCCTGAGCGACCAGGCCAGAACCAAATTTCTGGCAATGGAAGGGAACGAAGCTTGCGCAGCTTTCTCCATTCATTCAACTCCGTTTTGGCCATATTGCGAGATGGTGATCCTTGCTTGACGCGGCAAGTTCAACGGGCTCCCCTTGCAATCCGAAGAGGCAGACGATAGCAACCGAAGCCGAAGGTTTCGTTTTGCCACCTCGCATCAAGGGGCAGCTTGCACAAAGCTTGGTGCACAGGAGCCGCAAGCTCTTTACAAGTAGAAAGTCATGGTGAGGAGCCCGTGCGGTTCTTTTCAGTTTCGCAGTCGTTTTGGCTGAAAGAAAGCGGACCAGGAATGGCAGAGGCTTTGGTTTTCCTTCAAGCGACTTCCGCAAAGGCTGTTCCCAACTGTGGCTGAATCCCCCCGAAGCAGAAGTCATCACCGCAGCTTGTGGGCTCTTTTCAGCGCGCGCCTATGGCCCCGCTCTCCAAATAGTGCAAGTGGGAAGCGCATCGGGACAACGAGCTGCCATGGTCAGTCCATTGCAAGATAGCTTGCGATTGGTGTAGGATGCTGCAAAAACCAGGGCTTCGTGAGATTCCAGGGGCTTTTCAGGCGGATTGATGAAAAGGTAGCCAAGGGTGAGGGGAAAATGGCTTTGCCTCACATCGCCTGTTGACTTGAACAGCCAAGCAGCAAGGAGCAAGACTGGTCGGTTTCATCCTAGTTTTGAAAACAAATGCACCAACAAGGAGTTCGACGTGTTTTGACAGATACCCCCCCCTTATTCGAATCACAGCTCAGACCATCTCAGACCATCCCCCAACGATTCGGCTGGCGCACGCCCAGATTGTGCCATGGCGTGCTCGTGAGGGGCCACATGCGTTGCCCGAGTCGTGTGGGAGGACCAAGTCCAGCTGAATCAGATTCGGTCACGATTTCCAGTCTACGGCGAATTTGGAACGGAATGGGGGACTCGCGAAGTTTCCTATGTCCTCTTGGAACCAGTAAGTTTGACAATGGCTTGCTTTCTGCAGCTTCAGGGCAAGCGTTTGTTTCAAGCAACGAGTTTTGCCACGCGTGCCCTTGTTTGAGGCACGCTGTGCGATTGATGCTATTCTTTTATTGCCCCATGCCTCTTGCAGGTTTACCTTTTGCCCAATCCTCTTTGGGAGCTTTCCCCTCAAAGATCAAAAGGTGTTGCACCCTTTTCTCTTTGCATCGACGCTTGAATCTCCATTTCTTTTATTTGCTTGCTGTTTAGTGAACAACAAGTTGCTGGGGGTCAAAGACTCGGCTTTGCCCGGCGCAATAAACGCAGCTGGTCGGGGTGAGGGGAGGAATAGCACGCTGGTTGACCTTTCAAGACAAATGGAAAACCGCGATTGGCAAAGTTCCGGTTCTGGTGGAGCCTCATTCGGGGGTGTCACGCTTATGGCCAAAGAGCAATGCATTTCTCAAAGGGTTATTTGTCCAGGGTTCGCATTTGTTTCCTGATTGGAAAAAACGTGATGGTGCCCGAAAATAATCATCCTGACAATTGTGGTTTTCGGAGTTTCCACAATTGACACCTTCACAAAAGCCTCCTGAGTTCCGTGGGATTCTCCAGAGTTCCAACTCTATGACGACCGGCGTTGATCAATGGGTGATTCTCCATTGAGAGGGCCAACAGGGGAACTCACAGGGCCTAGACCAGGGAGGTGTCTGAACAGGCGCCCTCTTTGTGTGTTCCTGTCTAGTCCAGGGGACTGCTGTTTTGAGATTCACTGCCATAGCCATAGCTGTTGGGGGGCAGCAAAGCATGAGCCAAGATCATGTTTTTCTCGCGCTGACAGGCGAGCCATCGGTAGACGATGGGCATATGGGCTGGGGTCCTGGGTGTGTGTGTGTGTGGTATTTAACTTTTGATGGAGTTTAGATATCACCTTTCTAGTAGTAGGTGACTTTCCTGTCGGGACAATGTTTGAGTGATGCTCAAGAGACAGGGAAGGGAGCAGCCTGTTCCTTCCGCGTTTTATTCTCAACTGTTGGTGCTGGCTGCGCTTTGGCGAACTCGTGCGTAGGGAAGGTGAACATTTGCTTGTCGCAGCACTCGCTAGGCTTGAACCCTGCCCTTTTGGATAGTTGCCGGGAACAAAGGAGCCTTCTCTCCAGCTGTCTTGTTTCTCTGGCGGGGCAGCCTTAGCCTTGATCAATATGGACAATGCAACACTTTCCTTTGGTCTTCCAGTTGTCACGCGGTCTTCCCAGTGTCTTCCCGCACATGAACCCCCCCCCCCCTGGCTTGCCCCACCGAACCCCACCGCTGGAGAGCCATCCACTCCGGACGCAACAAATCCTGATTATCACAGACTATCGGGGTACTGTAATTGTGCCCAAAGTCACGGCGCATGCTGTGACCTCTTTAACAAAATTCATTTGTGCGTGCCAAGTAGATGGCGTACTTGCAAATATGCTCATTCAAGTTTCAAGGCACATCGAGTTGACATGGAGCCTTGTCAGAATGTACAGGCAAAGTCCTGAGCCCCATACTACGACCAATTCGTAGTCGAAATTTCTTCCTTTTTGCAAAGCTAGGCATACTTTTGAGCCATTGACTTTAGACAAGCTTGTATTTGCAACAATACGTACTACATACCCCTCCCGAACCCGGACCCGAACTCGGACCCGAACTCGGACCCGAACCCGAACTACCCCTCCCCCGGCATCCCAATTTTCCCTTCACAGGGCACTTTGACTTGCCACCGCTCTAGCCAGCTTGCTTGGACTTGCGTGTAGATATGAGTGTTGCCTCAACTATCTTTTGATCATTCCGGTCTTAGACAGCTTTAGGTGGGCTTTAGCACATACCATGAACAGCTAAATGTTACTATCAGATTTCTGGAGCAGGGTTCCATTCGGTTGGACACATACAGTACCCAGCGCGCACAACTGCATATTGATGTCAACAAGCATGGCTCCCTTTCCAGGGATTGTTAAAAAGCAAAGCTCACAAAGCCTGTTGGATGTCATTTGAGTCCTTTTTGGGGAGGGGGGGCTTGTCAAACATCGCCTCCTTTTCCTTTTGGTTTGACCCAAACCTCATCTTCAGTGTTGGCCCCCTTCTTGGACATGGGGTCCTGCACCCCTCGGTTTGTTGTCCTCAAAGCGGTCCGTGGGATCTTTTCCAATTTCACTAAAGTGCCCTACGTGCGGATTGGATTCCAACCCCAAGTTTTGCAGGGGAACACCCAGGTTTCAAAAGAGGTTTTGAGAGCCTTTCAGCATATTGCCAATGGGTGGATGCTTTTTTTCCCCTACAAAAGACAATGGGATGACCGGCCCGAGCCGAGGCGAGCCGTGCGTGGCGGCGGTTCATCTCCAGTGACCAGGAGTGCAAGCCCGGGGCCCGGGACTCCTTCGATCTCCTGGGTTTATCCTCTAGGTGTGAACCAACCCATGAGATAAAGAGGTTACCTCGAGGTTAAACACCAACCGCTGTGGTTAAACACCCAGCTTAAACCCTCATGGGGCTTCCCTTGCGCTGTGAACCAACCCCACAAGGTAAATTAGGTAGCCAAGTGGCTGCATTTTCCAGACACTTTGCCCAAACATCAGTCAGGGTTGCTGGGCAAAAAAGCAGCAACTGGCTATCCAGGTGCCCTCAGAGAAGATATAGCCACAACCTTGCTCCAAGGCTAGCAAACTGAAGACTCCTTGCTCCACGCCCTCGGACCAGAATTGGCCAAAGCCTTGCTTCCAGACACCAGGTGCCACTTCGAAGTTACCCTTTTTCCAAAACTGCTTCAAGCGGATTCTTCGACTCAAGGAGTTAAGGAGTTGGTGAGTTAAGGAGTCAAGGAGTCGCTTGTGGTCTTGGTGGCTTCCCTCAGGCTTGTCAGGCTTTGGACGTGATCGTCCTGTGATCGCAGCCCGTGTGGAGCCCGTACGGGTCCACACGGATTCATTGCAAGGGGTACGCGCAGTCTCCACGAGAGCTGGGTGCAACTCGAAAGCAAACTTCTCTTTTTTTCGAGTTGTGACTGTCTTTGTTTGGAGTTGGCACCAACAAAAGGGAACACATTCACATCTTGGGGGTACAGGCGCATGTCAACTTCGGATTGACGAAAAGGAGGGTGGTTCCGTTCTTTAGCGCTATTGAGGCGAGGGTCTTTGCTCTGATAGAGTACGGCCCTCCAGATTTATCTGAAGTGGGCATCGGCGTCCAGCCCAGATGAAGGAAGCTGTCGGATAAATTGGTTGGGGGGAGAACGGAACTCCACAAGCGATGCTGCGTCATCCAAGGGTTTATCAATGGATTTCCTACGGGAAGTCACAGTCGCCAAGTCTCTCATCCACGAGGATGAAAACCACGTTTTGTTTTTCCATTCGCTCACCGGTGTCCCCCGATCTCGATCCTTGCTGAGGATCGTAATTGTCGGCTTGAACAATGCTGGCAAGACTACGATCCTCTACAACCTCCACTTGGGCCAGGTGAGGGGGGCTGGGGTGTCAGTCGTCAGGCATGGCTCTTGCTTTTGGGAGCGGCATTTGGGGGGTGAGAAAGCGAGCTCTTGGGCCACTGTGACAACATGGTGATGCGGGTGCATCCTGCATCGCCTGCGTCATCCGCATGCCTCCCTTTAATGCTGCCAACATTCTCAGCATTACACCCTTAAGCAACCTTTGACTGGCCACCTGTGAACGAGGCACTCTGCACGGGATTTGCTCTTAGGCAAGACTGTTTTTTGAGCGCCCGTGGCAAGGCGGGAAACCCGAGTTTTTGGAAGATGAACATGCAGTGGGAACAATCTAGGAAGGATCCTCCGGATGCTTGGCTTCACTGGTGCGCGCGTCTTCGCTGGGTGAAGATTCCATGTCGGCCAAGCTGGAGGTTGCATCTGGATAGTTTCTGTGTGCCTTTGAGTTGAACTTTGGTTTGCTCTTTGGGAGAAGGGAAACCACCAACTTCTAGGGTTCCCTCATGTTCAGGCGCGCACCTTACTTCTCCCCAAACATCCAGCCACAACCGACCCATTCGAGCCGCATAGCCGAAATCGAACCGGCCAGGTGGTGCTGACACAGCCGACCATTGGTAGCAACGTGCGGGTTCCGATCTCCGGACAATTGAGGGAGGGTACCTGGACTCGAAGAACCCTCAAACATTGGATGCTGGTTTCAATGTGGGTCTCCCATTTCTGGGAAGGAAAGTGCCATGGTGGAACGTCTGTGGACTCTATGAGGGGCCAAATGATAGTACCCTATGCACAAGCATGTTTTCCATTTGCACTGATGGCGTTCAGCCAGCTTGCGTAATTGTTTGCAACTGATGAGTCGGCGGTAAAGCCTGGAGCCGTTCCTGGGACAATCTTTTTGTTTTGCCAGCAATTGCACGGTCGGCCCCAACGAACAGGGTATGTCAAAAAGATACCTTTTTTTCTATCCCCTGCCGATCCATGCTTCAGAATGAAGCAGGGGAAAAAAAGTCAATCCGGTGTGATTTACAGACAACATGCAGGGCTAGGGACAAACGATGGACTATCCTTATTTGCTCCTGGCCCTTGTTGAAGCTTGCGTGCAAAGCTTGACAGCGCACTTGTTCCTTCATGCCTTGTGCCGTAGAAGTACCTGCGCCAAAAGCTCCTCCTTGCCCAATTGTTGGCTTGCATCCTCGCCCATAGGCTTCCTGTTAACATTTTGTGGAATGGAAAGCCAGAATGATCAGCATCACCAATGTGGGAAGAGTGATTCAACGTCAACCGCCGCTTGTCCTGGAATGTATCGGGGCTGCGCTGGACCTGCCTGTCTCACATGTGGATTCCCCTTGAATTGGTGATCCAATTTCTGTTGGTTTGGTCTGGTCGTTTCCTTTGATTTAAGAGTGACCCTCTCGGCGTCCCAGCACAGTGCTTGTGGACCTTCTCAGCCTTGTTCCGGGGGTTCTTGTTCTTCTCCAGGGTTTCTTGTTAGGTGATCCATCTTGACACTTAAAGATGTTGCGATTGTTGACACAACCTCCCTTCTGCTTTGGACTTAGAAGTGCCCAGAGTCTGGTTGTTCTTAGCGCATGTTGCAAGTCCTCGTCCTTCCTTCGATGATTTTTTTCTGTCCGATTTGCCCCGAGGTGGAGGAGGTGAAGCACGAGAACATCACTTTCCAGGTTTGGGACCTCGGCGGCCAGGCCGGGGGTCCCACAAGACCGTCAGCCCGGAGGGAAGTGGCGCCTGAATCGGAACATATGGGTTGCTCCAGAACTTGCCAAGGACAAGCAAGTTGGTATAGAATGACAATATATCAAGGTGCTGGAGAGTATGTACTCGATGTGGTGAACACTCGAATTGGTATATAGTCGATGTGGCACATATTTGTACATGTAAACATATATCATATATACATATTGTGGATACTATATAGCAGATATATTACGCAGGAATACGAGAAGCATATTGGTTTGGGGTGGTGGAAGCCATCTTTGACGGGCGTCGCGTCGCCTCGCATCACGTTTGGGCGTGTGTGGTTCAGGCAAGGGGAGCCCTCGTCAGGTGGCCCCAGGGATGCGTGAATAGGTTTCACTTGGGCCTATTGAAAGCCCCTAGGTGGTACGTGGGAGGAATTCCCCATGTGATCTCCAGCTTGTACCACACCCCCCAAACCGAAACTCCAAACGAAAACAGGAACCCGAGAATGGCTTGTTCCTTTTGGCTTCCCTTTTAAGCAACCCAACAAACAGGAAGCTATCACACAAGCAGCAAATTGATCAACTTTTGATTAGGGAGATTTGAGATGGTTCGCTAAAGAGGTCCCGGGGGCTTTGGTTTCCCTCAATATAGACCGGGCTTTGATTGGCCTGATTTGGATGGTTTGTAAGAGGGGTGGCCCAAATCTGGGACCCTTCTGGGATGGAGCTCAAAGAGCTAAAAGGGCCTCCGCCTGCAAGCCCTTCTTGGGGTCCCATCCCGACGTTTTGTGACTCGTGTAAATCCAAAGCTACAAACTTTTCAACTTGGTTCCATGGCTTTGAATCCGGTAGGTGTATACGGACCTTCATTGTTGGGCGGTCCGAATGCCATTTGGAAGCACCAGGCCCCCCGCAGAAATTTCTTGAGCCCACCCGCAAGCAGTCGAAAACTGCGGAGCCGGGCCAGCGATCATCCAGTGGGTTGGCGATTGAGTCCTTTTTGTTGATATTGGGTTTTGTTAGTCGTTGCTTTCTTGTTGACCGGTGTTTGCTTTGCTTCTGCCGGTGGTTGCTGGCGTGGGTAGGATACCTTTTGCTCCTGCCTAATCTCACTTTGCTCATTCAACGATCTTCAAGCGCCTCTGGTTGAACAGAAGGGGACGCCCTTTATTTGTTCCGAGACTTTTATGGGTGCAGCTTTCGCTGTTCCATCAACATAGAAGCGTGAAAGTGGTCGCTGGGGGCAGGGTCCAAATCACCACATCGTGCGTTTGTCATGACAGGAGACCCTGCGAGCAAACTGGTCGACCTACTTCGAGGACCAGCGTGGAATGGTTTGCGCTTCTCGGACGCCAAAGCTGATTTTAGATGAGAGAGCCATGCCCAGGGAAAAAATGCTGTAAGCAAACATGGAAGTGCACAGACTGTGCTCCTCTTGAACTCTGTTCCTCGTGGGAAGCCCTATGAATGCCTACTTGTTTGGGTGAGCTTGGAATCCCCCAAGGTGAAAGGCAATCTCCGATCACTTTTCCTCGATGGGAGGACACTGATGCGATCATCTTCGTAGTGGACAGCAATGACCAGGACTTAGCTGGGGCGACTTCCCAAAAGCCCTGGACCCAGTCTGAACACTCCGGTTGGTGGATGGGAGCAAGGACACCCTTGCCCTGGTCGTGTGAGCGGTGAGGCCAACCTTTTGCAATCTGTGAGTATTCAGCGTGTGTGCGTGTTGCTCGCATCTGCGAATTCGGCCACATGCGGATTCCTAGGGCCATGACCATGAACCGCAAAGAGTTTTGGTTGGAGGAGAATTTGGTCCTGGCAAAGATGGAGTTGTTCAATGTGGTCCTACACGAGGACCGCGCCAAGCGACCGGCTCGGGTGAGAGTTACGTCGCGCAAACGCACACACAGACACACACTGCCCGTTGGGTTGCTCGGGCCCAGGCCCAGGCCTCCAATTCCATTTGTTTTACTTCTACTATGTTGGTTCCCTTTGAGCGGAAATTGTTTTGGGACCCTGTCAGGTTGCCATGGCGCCTAGGGGCGATGGGGCAACCACCATATAGCCACTAGGTTGTGCAGGGGTTAGAAAGAGTGGCTCAGGTTTCTAAATTAGGCAATGGGTTTCTTATTGAGCAAACAATGCAATGTGTATGGATATATAGGTAGAAGCGGGTTGGCCAGAACCCAAAGGGTTGGTAGAGCCACTTCAGTGGTTGGTCTAGAAATCCATCATTCGCAGCTTCCAACGGGGGACTCAGTAGGGAACATTTGCCAGTTCGGGAATGACTCCAGTTGACCATCCCTCATTCCCTGGTTGGCTTCTGTTGCGGCGTCATTCGCGTTTGCAGTGCGAATGACATTCCTTAGAATTCCGCCAGGGAGGTAAAGCGCCAGATGCTGACCTGCTGAGCCGCTACAGAAAAGGGCTGACGGACGGAATCGGACCCTTCCCCTTGAACATCTGCGAAGCGGCAAGCAGTGGAAGCTGATTGGTTTGCTTTTTTTCCTTTGGCTTGTTTGATTGGTTGGATAAATTTTTGGCTGTTTGGGCTTGGTTGGTTTGGTGTATTTCTTTCTTTTGGCTGCTCCTTTTTGATGGATTGGTCTGGTTTGATTCGAGTCTCCAGACTTCAGGTGCCTTTTCGCCAGGACCTGAAGCACGCGTGCCTGCTGGTCCTTGCCAATAAGCAGGTCGGGTGGGGCCGGGGGCCTCTTTTTTGTTTGGGGGGGGGAATGAACGGATATATATTTTTTTGTTGTTGGGGGGGGGACATGAAAGGAGATGTTGCTTGGATAGTACCCGTCGTTGTTGGTAGGCACTCTTTGTTAAGGGCTTTGATTGAACGGTGCCTTTGTTGGGGTTGATTTCAGGGGTTTGTTTTATCGTGCCGTTGTTGGAGTTGAGATGAGACAAACAATATGGTACCCTTGTCGACGCGGTAAAGGGAAGTAGCAACGGAGACCTCGGCTTGATGGTATCATTTTTCTCCAATCGTTGTTGCTTATGATTTACCAGGATTTCTTGATGGTGCCCTTGTTGGTGTTGATGTGAAGGGACAGCTGGGGTGGAGTCAAAGACGGGCTTTCGCATTCGCTGAGCCCACCCCCACCCCAAACCCATCCCACACACCCTAATTGGACACGGAGCAGATCCTGCAAACGTGGGAATCAAATGCCTCAAGGACAAGGGCAGCCATTTGTGGCAAGCCTAACAAACACTACTCGCACGCAAAGTTGGGGTCTTACACCACAAACCTCCGGAGCTACCGCACATTGCTTGCTACTTAAAGGGGCAGGGTATGTCAGGTAAGTGGTGAGAAGTCATGATCGCTCAGGTGGATTCTCCAGGGTTACTCAACACTTACCTGACGAAACACTGCCCCTTTCAGTACGCAGCAGGACATCCAGGGCAGCCGCAACGCTGGGGAGGCTCGCGCAACCGACTTGTCTCAGGCTGCAGCCCTTCTCGCGGTGAGCCTCCTCGCGGGTAGATAGAAACCATAGAAAACTCAAGGCATGGGTTTCCTTTGATTGTTCAAAGAGGTCTTTGGAGCGGGTGTTTTTTTTCTTCCTAGTGCATTCTTGAAGCAGTCAATCGAGGGCTCGGAGTCTGGTTGGAAGTTCATTTCGAGAACTCTCCTGCCTTTCCTTGTTTTGCGAAAGGAAAGCAGGTCCCCTTTGTATTGTTGACCCCGGACTACTCAACCTGCCAGATTGTTTGGCCAAAATGAAGGATCCCCTCTAAACAGTGATGCGCACATGAATCAAGCGGTTCTATTAGTTGGCTGGGTTCCAATACCAGGGATTATGGACAATGGATTGGCTAGGCCTCCATTTCGAACTGCTCAGTTCAAAAATATCCTGACCTCAGATCAAGCCTGGCACTGGCAGATTGTCCCCAAGTTGGGGCAAAGCTTGCGTTCCGGTTGAACCATGGCGGTTTATCTACAAAAACGGTTGAAACAGCATCCTTCTTTGGTTTCCCTGTATGTAGGGGGGGGGGGGAGGGTCTGGTTGCTTAACCCCGCCCAAAAATGATCCAGATCCTCCTTAAGCTGGGTTGCACCTCCCAGATTGATGTAGCACGGATTTATGAATCTATTCCATCATGAACCCCTTCTGTCTATCGCGAGAATCATAAGCCCACAGTAAGGCCTCATGAAGGGATCAGGAACGGCCATAGACCCCCCAGTTTCCCTGATTGCATGAGTGCAGCAAACATGTCTTGCACGTAGTTTTTTGATTGATTGCGGGGGAAAGAGAAGGGGTGGCCGTTTCCGAAAATATGCGGGCAAGGGAGTTGGTACGTATGTGGTTTGGAGTATTCCTCAAAAAGCCGCCCTTGTACTGTAATTGCAATCGGTGACTCGCAGTGGGGAGTCTTTTCATTTCGGGTGACTTGTCTCAGACAGCATAGGAACTCAGGAGAAGTAGTCCCTAGTCGATTTAACGGGGGGAGCAACCCATCTTAGATGGGGCCTGGCTCAGCAGGCTGACGCACGCTCGACTCTCTTGCCGCCAGATCGCCCAAGATTTGTCCCTGCACAAGATCCTGACCCACGAGTGGCAGGCGGATTGCGCGGATGGGCCTCTTCACTTTGAAGATGAAGTGGTATGTTTCTTTTTTGGCTTCATAAGTGCCTTAATGTAATTGTCGCAGTCCTCAAAACATTTTTATGCTTCTCTTGCTGGTTTAAACATCTTGTATCCACAAATGTATTTGTTGCACTTTGAGCCTTTGGGTGATTGAGTTTCTGAGTTCTTGATTCTGGTGCCCTTGTGTTCGGGCTCGTTTGCAGGGAATGAGGGAGTGGCTATGAACAAAACGGCTGAACATGCGCCTGTTTGACCGACCCCCTTGCGCTCTTGCTGCTTGGGGGTGTGCTCTCCTAGCCAAACCATCTGGATGCATCCAAAAATTGAGGATGCCCAAAAGTGTTGCACGCAGCAGTTCACTTGGCAGGTGGAGCGAGTTCAAAGTAAATAAGCGGCATCTAATATGGTTTTCGTGTGGATTACACTCCGGTGTTGTCCTCACAGACGGTACTACTTGTCCTGGGTTCTTGCAGCACATCTTGGCCCGAACCTAAAGAGTGCAAGGCTGGAGTGGAGGATGTGTGGATACCACTACTGGTCGCTGTGCAAGAAGTGGCGTTCAAGGAGCCACTGCTGTCTAGGCCGTGCACTTTATGCGTCTGTCCGGGCATTGGTGCGTTCGTTGCTTTTTGCACTGGTAGGCAGTCCCGGGGCCTTGAACTCCTAGTGGCGGGAGGGACGGGCTGCAGTGCCCGCACGGCCACTTATCCATCCATCCATC